AGCTTTAAAATCTTATCCTTCTAGATGACTTAATTATTTCGAAAGATGATTATATATATGAATGATTTAAAATTATTATTTTCAATATTCTTTAAGTTATTTGTTATATAGATTCATCTAATGTGATTATATTTTCTGTGTGATTGTTGGCTATTATGCATAATCATATTATTTATATTTTTATGTGTGATTTACACGCTAATACTAAATAATATAAATTTTATATTTGTACAAAGTGCTTATCTAAATCTATTATGCATAATCATATTATTTATATTTCTATGTGTGATTTGCACGCTAATATTAAATAATGTAAATTTTATATTTGTACAAAGTGCTTACCTAAGAATGCTCATTTGAAGGACAAAAAAATATAACATAGATTATAACAATAATAGGTTATCCTAAATAAAAAATAATAATATGAAATTGTTTTTTTCTATTTGTTTCTATAAATGAGTCATAAGGTTATTTAATATTTTGCTTTAATGTAAATCCTTATCTAATAAAACGCGTAATTTGTTGAAAATTAATGTTTTTTTCCCTATTAATTACTATATGCAAATCCTTATCAATAAAACTTATTATCTGCCGAAAGTAGCAACTAATGTATTTTTTTAATTATTCCATCAATAGTTTCCTTTTTCGTATGATATTCGATTATTTTGATAAATAAGACCTTTTTTGGTATTTCGCAATTTTAAAAAAGTTAAATAAATTACCATATAACATTACGTGAATAACAAGAAATAAAAAAATACACGATAATATTATCAATTATGCATTACATAATGCAAGAAGTGTCCTACGCCGTCATTGTGTTTATTATTTTACTAGCTATAGAATCTAGAAATAATAGTTTGTAATACAAAATCGTACTCCTATATTATGAAGATAAAATATAACTATATCTCTATATATATATTTTCTAGAAAATTTTGTTATTTTCTAGTATTTTTAATTTCTTTTACTTTTCATGCTATGTTTGGTAAGGTGTACACAATGTGGTCCAATTTGTTAAACAATTTGAGGGTACCACATATCTATTACATGAAAATAAACAAAGATAATGTTAAAAGGAGCTTCATCTTTTTGCTATATCTTCAACAATCCCACATTAGCTTTATTCCAAAATAGAGAAAAGAGAATTTTTTATTTTGTTTTTTCACCTGTTCGATACTTATACTGAAGCTTCAATTCAGTGGCAGAGACGGAAATTTCTTAAAGGGTGTTTAGAAATAACAACTTCTTATGTTAAGGACGTTCAAAATAGGCTATTTAATCATTTCATATATCATTTTACTTGTATATATGCTAATTTTTTTCTGACGAAAAGTGTCACTGCTTCAATTAATTTAGACTTGTGCGGTATAAAACTCATTTAAGAAGAATGTGTGTGGTGCCTAATTATATATTTAAAACTCAAATCTAAAATTAGTCAACTAATTGCAAACTAGCAAAAATGGTGTGTTATTGTACTCTACACTAAAAGGGGCAAATTAAAGGGTTCCCACCCTAAATTAAAGGAATGATTGTTTAAGCCCTAAGTTTTTGAACTTTGATTAAATCTCAATTTTTAATTTTCTAATGACATGTTCTATTTATTAGCCATATTCTTTAAATTTTACTCTCAATATTATATACATAAGATTATATATTACAAACTTCAAAGATCTTAACTTTGTAATTAGTCAAAAAATAAATAAATTCACTATATATAAATTGAAAAGGAAATGGTAATTAATTAACTATTCTTAAAGGGGAGATTTTAGTTGACCAACTAAGATGACCACCTTTACTACATTTCCAAGTGTCAACTTATAAGTGATCATATACATGACTTCAATTAGTCTTCTTAATAAGCAAAGACTTTTATTTTATACTCCGTCCACTTTTATTTGTCATATTACATTTTTCGAAAGTTAGTTTGATTAATTTTAAAAATTAAATTAGGTTATGTAAATTCAATATTTTAAACAAAAAAAATTCAATAAACTGCAATTTTTTGTGTATTATAAAATGTCGATCGAATTTTTTATCGTTGACTCTAAAAAAAGAAAGCATGACAATTAAAAGTGAACGGAAAAAATATATTTTTAGACCTTTCACTATTATTTTTTAAAGGACTTCTTCATTATTGTATTTTTTTTCAAAACCTATTTTAAATTGTTTTATTTGGGGGCGACGCCCTTTCAGAAAACAATCTCTTTCCTTTTATAAGATATATATAAAATTTAATTTACACACACATCACTCTCTTTTAACTCTAATTATAAAATTACATTAAATATATTATTATCGACTAATATTATGTTATAGTATTATTTTTAAAAGATTTTTTTAGACTTTTGGTTAGTTGTCAACTGTCATATGGTTGCCACCTTTGCATTAATTATGGAGTAACGTGTTATAACTGAAAAAAACAGTTGGAATTTCTTGAGGATTATGAGTTATCCACTTTTTGACTAATATAATGTATTAATTTTGTAATATTAGCCACGTGAAATCCACCTCTTGGAAAATAATAAAGTTTTTTTTAAAAAATCAATTAAAAAAAAGGCAACTTTCTTTTAGTTTGAAGAAATTAGAAAAGGACTTGGTCATACATGTAAAATAAATGGCGCAAGAATATGCGTTGTCATTTTTTTTTTAAAAAAAAAAATTAAAATTTTAATCTGATTAATTTGTATTCACGTCAAAAGTATGATATGATGTAACAAAGGATAAGTATTTTGTTATCACAAACTTCTCCATTGTAAATTTGAATAATCGGAGTTAAAGTTAATTTTTATACTTTGGAGAAATCAGATTTTAGACAAGTCTCGTCTTATGAGTTAACTTTTAGAATTGAATTAGACTCGATACTTGTTTCTCATATTGATAGTTAGATTTAGGTTCATCCTAACTAGGGATGTCCATGATTATAGTTTAAATATCAAATTGAACCGCAATTCGAATCAAATCGATTAAAAAAATCGACAATTGATTTGATTTAGTTTTACATTTTGAAAAATCGATACTATTTGATTTTGACTAATAACCACAAAAATAATCAAAACAAGCCGATAAATTAGATATATAAATCTTATAATTGTTTATATATTGTTCGTAAATAAAATGTAAATATTTTTTAAAATTTTATGTAACTCAAGTCTTCAACTTTATCACACATAAATTTTAGCCCATCTATTACAATCATAAGGCGAAGTCCATTAAAATTCATTTTTTAGTCTTTACCTACCATATCTTTATAGTTGCACCTTCACTTAATTGAATCACTATGTTCGTGTAATGATAACTTTAATATTGTTTAATTGCTTAATTAAACCAACAATAACTTTTCAGTAGATTGTTCATATACCAGGTGTCTGTTTCCATCAAGATGCATATGTCCTCAAAATTTACTTTCAAACTGAAAAAAAAAAAGAAAAACTGAACCAAATCGACATTTACTTTTTTCATTTGATTTGATTTTAGAAATTTAAAGACCAACTAGATTGATTTGATTTTAACTGATTCAAACTAAACCACGACACTCCTAAATTTCTAACTATTGATTTACCTGATATTTTGCTTTTGATATTGACTTACCCTTTAGCTCATAAAATTATTTAGGGTATAGAATTTTTCATCAGTATTTGATGAAATTTTAGTTGGAAAAGATTGTGCTGAGCTTGAATTGGCTATACACATACACATTGTTACTTTGCTTGAAATTTTCCACAATAATGAGTTTGCTACCCCTCACTACCAAATATGGCTCGTATTCTTTAATCGTATTTTTTTTTTTTTACATATTTTGAATTATTGTAATTATAGTGTTTTTTATATAATTTATAAATATATAAGGATTTCTTTTTTAAAAAAAATAAAGATTTCGTGACTTAAATCGTGTCAAAAGACAAAATATTACGCTATTACTATACTATGATACATTGTACTAATACTCTAAGGCATTTAAAATGAATTAAGAAAAATAGCACTTCTTTTTATATATGACAATTAATAATACTCTTTCTGTTCCATTTTATGTGACACATTTCATATTTCAAAATTTAAATAAAATTTTCAAAGTATTAATTATAATGAATTATAGTACTTTTTACGTAGTTTACAAATTTATAAATTTCTTACATAAATTCCTCGATCAAACTTAAACGAGAGTCCAAAAACGAAAAAGTGTACATAAATATTTGAGAAAATGAAATTTCAATCAATATCAAAATTGACAAATTATGAAATACTAAAAAAATGGAGGTGCGGGGAATCGAACCCCGTGCCTCTCGCATGCGAAGCGAGCGCTCTACCATATGAGCTACACCCCCTTTTTGCCTGTTAATACTAGTCAAAATTATTTATTTAATTTTACTTAGGTGTAAATGTCAAATATGAGTACAAAATAAATATTTACCTTATATTAATTGTTTGATTGAAAAAAAGGGAGATGTTTGGCGTGAAGTATAACGAAAAAAATTGGAGCATTAAAACGTATAGTAGAACCTGCATCAGCACATAGCTATTCTTGTTTAAGAAGAGTCAATTGTCATCCTTTCTCTCGTTGAGCTATTCTTGTTTAAGAAGAGTCAATTGTCATCCTTTCTCTCGTTGAATAATACTTCTATTATATGTATATATTAGTATATGTTTAAGTTTTCTTAACTTATTTGTGTATTCAATTATTTATATATTAAATTCTCTTAGTAAATGTTTTGACTTCAACCCTGTCAAAATCAACCAACTTATGATAAATGTTAATTGATCATATAACTAGTTACTCCTATTGTATATTTCCTAGTTGAGTTAGGAATTATGATTATGTCATATCGTTACTCCTATGATTATGCATCTATTTATTTGACGTAAACATTCAATATGGTAAGCTTTTAGATGAAATCCTCCCCTCCCCACATTCCGCTTTAAGCCACTTGGACAATCTAACTAATGAATAATAGTGTTCGTTTTAACATTGAAAGAAGTACTTCATGATGCATCCCTACCAATTGTTGCTATAGATCATTGTATTGGAACAAGAATAATGAATTCAATGTTTCAATACATAAATGGAGTTCATTGTTTCAAATACATATTATTGTGGTGATTTTAAATAGTATACTAAATGTAAAATTGCTACTCGCCATAGGAAAAATTGGCATTATTTTGATATATGAGTTTGCTACCCCTCATGCCTGTTTAATGGCAATTAATTAGATTAATGCAAGAGTACATTCACTTAGTTATCACCATATAGCCACTTCTCAGAGTTGCTGGTGTAATTAACCAACTCCTCTGGTTTAAACCATAGGTTGATCTCATCCTTTGCGGTCTCGGGGCCATCGCTGCCATGGATGATGTTCCTGTATAGCAGATTGTGTTAAACTCATGTTTACACAAATCATACAAGCAGAATGACTCGTTTGAGATTGATGCGTAGTTGTATCATTGTATATTACCTTCCTACTACAACAGCTAAATCGCCTCTGATGGTTCCAGGTTCAGATTTCTGTGGATCGGTGGCTCCGATAAGCTTCCTTCCATATCTGATTACACCTTCACCTTCCCAAACCTGAAGAGAAAAGTGTATGGAGTTATTCATGCTGAAATAGTTTGGACAAAGAGATACAATGACACTTGACTAGTAAAATCCTCTTACTTACCATTGCTAAGACAGGGCCAGAGCTAAGGAAGTCGCACAAGCCGTTAAAGAATGGTCGCTCACTCAAGTCATGATAGTGCTTCTTTGCAAATTCCTTGGAAGGAATCACAACTTTGATTGCAACCAGCTTGAAGCCCTTGCGCTCAAACCGTGATACGATTTCTGAAATCTGAAATGAAACAAAAATTTATCAGCCAAAAGTAAAAGAGAACACATTATTACCCATCAAGCACCCAGATAAAATATTAAAATGTGAAGTAACTTCAGCTGCCTCTTCAACTAAGGGATTGTGGGTGGGAGCCCGTTATTGGAAGACCATATAAATAGAAGAAGTAGCAAGAGAAATCATTATCGTACCAGGCCTCTCTGTACTCCATCTGGCTTGATGGCAATAAAGGTGCGCTCCATCTTGAAAGAAATACAAACAGATCAAATTTGTTACTAAAAAGAATGACAATGAAAAATAAATGGATAATATAACACCTCAATCAAGAGGAAGGCTGAGAATATCGTACCTCGGCAGCATGTGCTTCTTGCTCCTGGAGCATGTAAGCTAAACAGAAAGGGAGGGAAACGATGAAATTAGAATACAAATTACTATTTCCCCGAATAAGGAAACAAAGGCAGGACAAGTTATAACTTTTGTTTGAGAAAAATGGAATGAAATGCTCAATTATGAGCACAAGTACAGCAAACCATTTCACCCCATACCATGCAAGTAAAAGGCTTAAATGTAAACACCTAAATGCCAGTAACTATATCCTAGAAAAGGTACAAAGCATAAGCTTTCTCAGAGAATCAAATTTCACCACAAGAGGCTTTCAGAGAGGAGCATGCAACAAGTCCATGAAAAATAAACTTGAACAAACCTGCTGCAGGAAGGGCAAGCACACCAGAAATCCAAGCTCTAGATGCATTTCCAGATTCATTCCTGCCATATGAGGCTAGAGAAGGCACCACTCCTCTCAATGAAACTGTGGCTGCTGCAGCTGCTGCTCGTCCTCCTGCAACAAAGAGAACTCAGAAATCAGCATTTTCAATATAACCAAACTTAGATTATCTTTTAACATATATGACACATAAGGCATTCCCAACAAGAAACCAAGCATATAAGAAAACGGATTATCTTCAGTGAGAACAAGTACCTCACATTAGTCATACATATCGTGTGAAGAAAATCCATGATTTGGAGATACACCACATATAATATGTACATACTTTAACTATTCAACTTAATTCTTATATGCATAAATCTAGTCCAAGTTTGAGATGCAAATGCTGGAACCGCTGTACATTGAGCTCAACAGGTAATCTTTCTTTAACCACAATTCATTTGGAACACATGTACTAATTCATAGGCTCCTTAATTGCTGCACAATTCCTCCAAATTCCAAAGCAAAAATTCAAATCCACATACCAAAAAGTCAAACACCGGGACCAAAAAGTGAAAATTAAAACATTACTATGAGTCAAACATAAATAAATATCTAGGCAGCCTTCAAAACAACTACTTCCTCTACGGCAAAACTAACCGCACATTACGATTCTAAAGTCAAATACTTATTTCCTCCTACCAGATATTTAACATTTCTAAAATATTACGGAATATTTACCAAAAAATTCAGATTTTTGGAACTTTTTTCTAGCTAATTTCTGAAAATATACAAGTTTTACACCAAAAATCAAATGTTTTTAGGACTTCCTAAAAAATATTGGAATAACAAGCTTAAAGCTCAAAACTTCATAAATTAAATACAATACCAATTACAAATCACTATTCTTTTCAAAATGGAGTCTCAAGTTTAAAGCTCAAAACTTCACGGCATTTTTTTTAATAATTAACAAGCTAAAACCTCATCAATTAAAAACGATAACAATAACAGATTACAGCTTACAATCCACATCAGCAATAAAAATTTACCGGAAATAGAACGAGAACTCTGTTCGTGAGCAAATGACGTTGTTACAAAGAGATTTGACTATATGCTAAAAAAGCTCAAACATTCATGAATTTGTTTTGATAACCCGAGCTCAAATATCCATCAATTAAAAACAATAGCAATTACAAATCTCAGCTTATATAATTCACATCAGGAAGAAATATAATGATTTGTTTCTAGTATAACTGTAGTGTGAGCCAGTTTGTGATAAAAATGAAAATTATACCTGAAAAAGCACGAGAAGTCTGCTTAGATGAAGCAGAAAGGAGTGACTTAGCTGCTCTTGTAGCAGATCTGCAAATCTGAGAATTCATCTCTGAGCTTTTTAGAGAGAGAGTCAAAAAAATTGTGAAGTTATAGAGAGAGAAAGAGAGTGACCAATTGAGTGAAGCTACAGAGGTTATATATGTGAGGTTCCCAATGAAGTCGCGCGTGATCACACCCACATTTAGGACGCGTGAAAGAGGAAGGTTTAAGGATTCGGGCTGGGCCAAACCCTAAAGCCCAAGTATTGTTGGGCTTAACAGTCGATCCATAACACAAAGCGGGTTAAAACCGAATCTGATTCGTTAACTTTCTCCGTTACGTTGTGATTTATATGGTTATTTACGGAGAATTTCAAAAGCTTAGTTGATTGATTATTTCAACTCCTATTTTGTTTGTAAGAATTCAGTTTTACACATTATAAACTCCTTCCCATTAGACTAGTATTAATTCACTAACTAAAATCTCGAATCTAAGTCAGAATCGAAATTAATTTTATATTGAAATACACTCTTTTAACTTATGATTATATCAATGAGTGGTAACATTAGTTTAAACACCTTTTTATAATATAATTAGATTGTCATTAGTTGAATGCAGATCTTCTCAAAGAAAGTGAAAGGAGCAATCATTTTTGAATAATTGTTGATTTAAAAGCTATTATGACATATTTGGTGATATTTTAACATCATTAGATTTTGTCTAATAACAAAAATTATCTTGTCACTTTGTACTTCTTGTTTTTATCATCCATGTTTAATACTTAATTAATAATCACAAGCTACCCCATTATTATAGTAATAAAAACAAAATTAACTTTATGAACACACATTCTAAGTAATGAGGAACTTATCATAAACAATATCAACAAAAAAATAATAATAATATTTTACATCCTCATTGCTTGAGGTACTATTCTATATTCTTTTATTCTTTTTTTGTGCGGTGGTATTTAGGCATCTAAGTATCTGAAATATATTGACATAATTAATTCAAATTCAGGTCAAATAGGCTCATTAAGGAGTTGAAACACTCACTTGCCAAGATATTCTCCATTATCAAAGGTCATAAATTAAAAACGAAGGAATCTCATTCATCCCACACCCACTACACCTTGACACCTGGGGAGGTGCTAAAGGCACACTGGTAGATTTTCATAAGCTATTTTTCGAATTGCTTTAGCCTTTAGACATCTAGCATCCGAAACATACTGACATGATTAATTTAAATTCAAGTCACATAGACTCATTTAAGGGGATGAAACTTGCTTTTGTCAAAAGAGATTCTCCATTATCAAAGCTCGAACTAAAATTAAAGGCGGAGGAATAGAAATCTCTGTCATCCCGCCACACACTTCCTTATAGTGCTCGAGGTACTATCTAGCTGATTCACTTAGATACTCACTCCACTTGCAAATTGAACAACATAATGATTTTTTGCCAAAGATGTCATGTAGTGGAAATACTTGAAACTGTGAATACATTTTATTTATACAAGTAGTAGTAACTTGACAATGACAGTTAAATAAGCTATGTACAGAATAATGGATAAATGCTAAAAGTTGTTCAATCAAACTTCCAAAGTGAATAATAATGCTGTCTTTGCTTCAATTTCTGGTCTATTTACAGGTTGTTGCTACCGAATACTGACAGAAAAAGATGTCAAGTATTGGTCAACTCATCAGGCGCGGTGCAGTTAGATTGCAGATCAGAATGATTCGGTAATGACGCCAACCAGGAATCAACCTGCAAAACAAAGATTCTATAGCTTGCGACGGGATAATGAAAGCAATGTGATGAATCTATAGATACGGTTTTAGTTATGGGAAGACAACATTCTCGAGAGCAAAGCACTAAAACGAACAAACAAACAGGCTTATAACATGCTACTTTGACACCTATGTTACTACTTTCCTGATAAATACATGTGTGTTACTGAGACATACTCCTCGCATCTGCTTATGATGATGGACTTCTAAGATCGTTCATGGGATACTGATTCGAAAAGACAGGATTCAGATAAAGCATTTCATGACCAGAGAACAAGGCAAGACTTTTAGTACTACTAACAGATAGTTTGTACTCCATAAAATCATGCCTAGAAATAATGGAAAAGATCATATACACGTAGAGGTGCGTATGAATTCGCGTTTACTCGAAGGTCTATTTATTAACTTCACACATCAACACATAGAAGAAGATACCAAGACTAGGTAATAGCAGTAGATGATCCAGGTACAACCATTACCTGTATTTTGGAAGCACTTGAGCATTCATATCTCAGCCCATGACGAGTTGAAATAAAAAAGCAATATCGAGTATCACCGTTGTCTCGTGTCAGACAAGGCATGGCTCCAACTTCAACAACATCAGATAGAAGAGTTGAGTCTTGAGGACTCAGATCTGTATCATGTTTAGTAGTTATAGAGTCAAATGTTTTCATGACATAGCCTCTTTGTTGTGTTAACAGATATCAGAAAATTCTTCATTGTGCTAGTTGATATCAGATTGTCCAAGTAAATTAAAGATATTATGGGCGTCTATTAAATCAAAGAGAAGATAGAGATGCATTGGCTCACGAGGAATTAAAAGATACGCAATTAGAATCCCAGCATAACCTAATATGATATACCAAACAGAGATGACAATCTCTACATCAGATTCATGGAGCTCGTTATTAGTTATGTATATGCAACTAAACGGTCAGCCAATCCCAATATAACTTAACAGTGAGCTATACCAAATAGAGATGACAATTTCTACCCTTACCATAGGTACTTTTCCTATTCCACCTACATACATGAACAGGGGAGTTTGGAGGATGAGTTTTTGGAATTTCATCAAACCATATAGACTGTGGGGCAGGAGGAGGGTATCATATAAGTTATTTAGGCATACCAACACACCATTCTCTACCTAAAACGAATTAACTATTTCCCTCCTTGTGTCTTCATATCTTCCACCACTGTCTTCAACATTCTTGTGTCTGTTTCCATTCACCCTCTTCCTGTTTGTTCGCCCATTATGCTCGTATATATTCTTAATTGATTTTTAATTTTGATGTTGATTAATAGGGAAGATACAAGTACAGTTATATTGCATCAAAACCACAAGGACGGTGCAAGTGCCACTGCCCACTGGTGGGCGTGGACAAAAATTTCACCCACCTGATCACGAGGGGTTTGTGAGGTTGAGAGACAGTGTCCTTTGTGTTGAGGGTTTGAATTTCCATCTCTAATAACTAAAATCACATAGAAGTCGATCAAAATTCAAGAGACACTTAAAGGGTGTCAAACTATATGAGCAAATTTGACGTCCATCATACTACAATGAATGCCATTAATCAGCATAAGCTTATAAGACATCGTTTGAGATTTCTAGACTTTCCTGATAAATAGTTGGAAGATTTGGCCTTCTATGAGGAACTCAGAATTGGCCAATAAAGGGAAGAGGCAAAACACAGAGAGTAATGGTACACATCAAAAGTTTGGAATAATGCACTTACACCAAAATAGGGCAATACCAAAAAAAAATGTGACTTCTGAAATTGGAAGTTCCCGTATAATTACCTATGGATGATGAATACAAGAAAATACCCGATCCCTGAAGAACAAGAAATTTAGGAAGCCAGTCATCAACTTCAGTGTCATCATCGATTGGAAGAGGTTCGCCTGGTAAAGCCTCCCATCTCTGTCGATCAAAAGCAAGAATAAGATTTCATAATTTAAGTCTGATAAGTCCAAGAGATAACAAGAAAAGGACAGATGTTTGGTATTTCAGTACCGTTCTCAGATACAAATAACCCGACATGCGAGCAGACTGCAGTATTTCGTCAATATGTTCTAATCTGTGAATAGAAAGATATATATATATATATCACAACCTCAAATAATAGTACTGCTTTAGACAAATCCATGAATTCTCAATAAAAGATACTGGAGGTTGTTCCAAAGGATGCCATCATATTGATAGCTCATATGGGATACACTGGGTAAGTTGTTGTTAGGTCTTTCCTCATCAAGTAGAAAGCCAGTCATTCCATGTTACAGTTACATCTAAACTTTCTACTACCTAGAAATACAATATTATTCATTTTCCCAATGTGTTCTTTCTTGTTTTAAAAGCATGGACCGGAAGTGTCTTAGTTCATTGAAGAGAACTCTCACGGCAATATCTTGAAGGGTGTTCACATTTCCTACTCCAAAATTTTCCTTTTATTTATTTCTTTTTATAATGGCAGTGCCCAGGCCAACTCGTGTGCACCTCAACTAGTCCACCAAGTATCAGCTGCCTCCAACCAGCCAGGCACTAGGTAGCTCTGCCATCAAGGTTTAGGTAGGTGGGAAGAATTCATCTAATGTCGCCTCTTGCTGGGATTCGACCCTAAGTTCCCAAGTTGGCAGATGACAGGAACTTCCTGCTTACTGTTATTTGTCTCTTATTTATCCTATCAACTATCCCCGATGGTTCTATGTACCCACATGTGAAGATGCACTCAGGATGTGTCCTCTTACCAAAAGGATTTTCATAACTAAAGACTGAAGCAAGTTCATATGTAGAGAGTTTGGGCATATAAGGCAGTTTCATTATACGTGCATGTCATAGTCCACCTTAGCACATTCTGCACGTCTTATAAATGTGATAGAAAGATTCTATGTTTAAAGGCCAAGTCACCTAAGGAAAAAAAGAACTTACCGAAGCTTTTATGCTTTTGCTGTAAACCTATGAATTCACATTGTAATTAGTGTAGATAATGAGAGAACACAATTAAAGCATCAAAACATACTGAGCTTTTAAATGAGCTTCTCTTTCTTCCAAAGCAGCAATTTCTGACCGAAGAGATTCTACTTCTACAGCAGTTAGAACTACCTGCAAAGTCACAACAAAACTCAGTGTTCCTTCACTTCACAAAGATAACGAATGAACTTGAGAATAATTAACTAGGAAATGCCAAGTTAGATGGCTAGATCATAAGCAAGAAAAAGCTAGTACCTTTTTCTGGTCATCTGTACCAGATATCCAAGGTAGCTTTCTGGGGCTAAACATATTCAACATTGACACAGAACTTCTCAATTTTGTTCAAGTCAATCTATAAATAGATCTATTATAACAGGAAAGAAG